CCCTGTTTTTATATTATTTTTGCTTCCCTTCCCTTATGTTCATCTGTCCTGTGTCTTAGGGTCCTCATATGAGTGAAGTCATATGATTTTTGTCTTTCTCTGACTAATTTCGCTTAGCATAATACCCTCCAGTTCCATCCACGTAGTTGCAAATGGCAAGATTTCATTCTTTTTGATTGCCGAGTAATACTCCATTGTATGTATGTATGTATGTGTGTGTGTGTATGTATGTATATATACACACATACATACATATACATACATACATACATACATACATACATACCACCTCTTCTTGGGGAGAGAGAATCTTAAGCAGGATCCATGCTCAGCGTGGAGTTCAACAAGGGGCTCAATCCCACAACCCTAGGATCATGAAATCAAGAACTGGACAAAATTAAGAAACTGAGCCAAAATCAAGAACTGGACTCTCAAATGACTGAACACCCAGGCACCCCCAAACTCTTAACTATAGAGAACTGATGGTTACCAGAGGGTAGGTGGGTTAGGGGATGGGTTAAATAGGTAATGAGGATTAAGAAGTGCACTTGTTGTGATGAGCACTGGGTGATTAAAATAGTTATTAAAAAATAAAATAAAAAGTCTGTGGGAAAAAAATCTTTAAAGTAGTTATGAGAAGAAAAAGAAAAATAAATAAATTTGCTATTAGTAATACTCACTGGGAAATTTGGTCAGTGTACTGGGACCAGTTTTTAAAAGTGGGCTGTTATCCTACAGGTGTGGATGGATTTTTTTATCAAGCTCCTGTACGCTGATCAAAACTATCTTTTGGGGAGGGGCACCTGGGTGGCTCTGTCAGTTAAGCATCTAACTCTTGATTTGGGCTCCTGTCATGATCTCTTGGTTCATGAGATCCAGCCCCGCATTAGGCTCTGAGCTGACAGTGCAGAGCCTGCTTGAGATTCTCTCTCTTCTCTCTCTCTCTGCCCCTCTGCCCGTTTTCTATCTCTCTCAAAATAAAAAAATAAATTTAAAATAAAATAAAACTATCTTCTGGGTAGAATAAAAAAATACAAGGGTGCCTGGGTGGCTCAGTGGGTTAAGTGTCAGACTTTGGCTCAGGTCATAATCTCACAGTTCGTGGGTTCGAGCCCCATGAACCCACTGGGCTCTGTGCTGACAGTTCAGAGCCTGGAGCTTGCTTCGGACTCTGTGTCTCCATCTCTCTCTGCCCCTCCCCTGCTTGCGCTCTCTCTCTCTCCAAAATAAATAAACATTTTTTTTTAAATACAGTGGGATATGTGTTAAAGAAAAATAATTGCTGGGGTGCCTGGGTGGCTCAATCAGTTAAGCGTCCCATTTCAGCTCAGGTCATGATCTCATGGTTCATGAGTTCAAGCCCCACATCAGGCTCTCTGCTGTCAGCAGAGATCCTGCTTCA